TGCTATCTCACTTGCTTATTCTCTGTGTGCTGCAGAGTGTTGCGCTTCGTTCTTGGTCTGCGCATTCAACAGCTGCGTGACGTGATGGCCAGCACTGGACTACTTGCTGCCTACATGCTCTACGAGTGTAGCTCTCGTTGTGTTGCTATCTGCGATACGTCTAGGGCGAACCCTCATCCCAGTCGTACTCAGATATACGACTATCGGAGCAAGCCCGCGGCACCCGTGGAAGACCCGTACCCTCCTCACGGGTACGGGTATAAAGGTCGCATGGGTGCCGAGGACGGTCGACGGCACCTGCGGGGATACCCGTGGCGTACACTAGCTAAACTCTGGCAAGGCATATGGTGGCATCATTTGGGAATACATAGAAACAAGACAATAGCCATGTGCATGATGCCAACAATCAGAGTCCAGATGTGGTCAAAATAGTAGCAGTCTAGAGCAGCATAGAATAGAGGCTATTGCAGTGAGTGCTACTCAAAGAATATTGACGGGAACCCCAGTGCCTATAGCATCAGACAACAATCCCATGTCGTTGCCTGAAGCTATACAATTATTTACAAGTTTTGCACTTGTTCAACAAGACACATATGTGTCTTAAGTGTATGAAGGATCTCTTTCAGTAGATCTGGTGAGAGCAAGACATAGCTGGTGATAAGGACAGCTCCTATGAGTGTAGCAAAAAGACCTGCCTATCAAGGTTTATAAGCCATCATATGTGTGGTCAAAATGCTTGGCAATACTAACAAATGTCAACTGATTAACCACAGTAGCCTTGGCAGAGAAAAAGAACTCCACTCTCTCACCCTTTATATCTGCCCACAGCGTCCTCTACAAGCCATCCCCATCCTTCCTGCTATACAAAGATGCTTCAAAAGGCACACCTTCAACTGGTACTGACGTGATTTGTGGCTCAGATAGAGATTTGTGACACGTGCAGTGAAAGATAATGGGGAGAGAAGGGAGTCCTTGCGATGCTATGACGGCACTATATACATACTCAATCTCTAATACAAGGTCCCATAAAATCCATCCTCACCCGGCACAATATTAGACAAAAACCACGCAGGCATCGCAATCTTACTTTGCTGCCTCATGACGCGTATACTACTACAGTGCACTATGATTGCTGAATAGTACTCCTACTCAACAAAACCTAGTACTAGTACTGTAAGGGACATATCGTACAGTATTCTCTATACTATGACAGAACTGATAAAACATGTAAAGGATACATTTTAATGAGATCACATATAAGGGACACCAGTACAGTAGTCAAAAGAGTTGCACGCAGATGCATCCAGGATGGGTGATAGGTGCGTGGGTCAAAACATTCCAATGGCCAGAGCAGACTAAGGCAATAACGTTGAGCGAGCCAATCTCGCCAATAAGCATGCCGTGTCCCCAGGCCGATAAATGCCTACCATGATACACCAGCCGTGAAATCTTGACAATCTGCACCAAGACAAATAGTAGATAAGACTATAGTTGAGTACGAGAGGGAAAGGAATACAAATCTTGTTTGCATCTTTAATGCACTCCAGTGCGTGGTAGCGGTGGTAGTGGTCCAAAGGCATCTTGAACTCGCAATTGTACAGTTGAACAACACTTGCAAAGGGCAACACAACTCGGAGGTCACTCAATGGCAGTACCAGATCGCCAGGAATCAGGCAGCAAGGAACGCGCAGGAAGAATAGGCCTGCCTCCAACAAGAAGAAGCAATAGCATGCCGCCAAATGGAGGAGGCAAAGAAGTACCCAACTCTACCAACCATCGTCGCACACAAGTCCATGCCACTCCACGTCCAACCAACAGTAGCGCATTTTGCCCTAGAGAAGCTTCTCAAGAAGGCCCTAGAGAAGCTTCTCAAGAAGGAGGTTGTTGGGCTAGACTACTGGTCACCGACGGGGTTAGCCCGCACTACAGTGAGCAAAGCAGCGAACGCGCCACAGTTCCGCGTGCTCACGATGGAGAGCGAGCAGCCAGAGGCCAGTGATAACGAGAACATACGCATCATTGCCAACCCTGCAACAGCCCTGCAGCTCTCCGGCATTTGACCAGATGACAAACTCCCCTATGCCGTCTTCACCAAAGCAGTATCCAACTAGCTGCGAGTACTTGAAGATGCACGCTGGGACCCAACACACATCACCACTGTTGAACAGCTGTTTGTTAAAATCCTGGACCACCCGGACCTCGTCCAAGAGACCAAGGACTCGGACACACCGCCAGACGAAGCCCTCGTCAAGTATTTTGCAAGAACCCGGCTGCACTATCATTACGAACTCAAGCGCAATGTCATAGAAATATGGGACTTCAGCCGGATAGATAAGGCACAGCTCATTAAGATCAAGTCCGATCTCAAACACAAGCACTCATAAGAACAACGGCTCGCAATGAAAGCAGAGGTACATTCTATTCTGCAACCTCTTTTGTGTACGGATAGACAGCTAACAGATCTTTTCTTCCTTTCCCTCCCTCCAGCTCTCCGTATCTCTCCCGTATCTCTCCGTCTCTCTCTCTCTTGTCCCCCACGTTCTCTCCACATGCTATCTCACTTACGCACCACTACAATACACTTGATGCTCTCACCGCGGGAAACTCTTTTTTACGTGCACTCTTGCTACCTTTTCTTCCCACGTGCTCTTGCCACGCCCTTTACTCTCATGTGCTCTTGATGCCACCCACCTCTCATGTTCTCTCTCGCCACCCACCAACAACCCACAGTTGGCTGCTTGCACCTCTGAGCACTTATCACCACGACTATCCTTCGGGTGAGGCGATTGTTATGACCGGCCATCCCGTCGCGACAACTGACTGGATTTCTGACGCGAAGACCAGTAGACTCTAGGCGGGACAATCACCTCGTATCAAGGCACTATAAACAAGACCGTGACGACCAGTATGGTTGCCACAGCACCTGCAACCAATACCGCAACCTACCATACCAGTCACGCCACAGCTCCGGTCATCCTGAGCAGCCTTCTTTTCCATCAGGCGGGTCTGGACAGCCGACATCCGCCTGTGCCCTATGCCTCGGTCGGCAATGCCACAGCCCCAAGACCTGCAGTGCCGCACACTTGGCCTACCACTCCTCCTGTGAGACCTACACCATACGAGGGCCCCAACCAGGCCAGTACAGAGTTGTGGTCGCTTGGATAGTCAATAGTCATGCTAGTTTGCAATTCTGCCTTGTCATTTTTGCGATGTCAAGTGATTATCTAGTCAATTGCTATAAATATCTGATTATCTATTTCAGACATGCAATTTGTTTTCTTAGATATATACCGACTGTGCCAGCTTGTAATGACTCAGGGCACAGGTGCAAGTATATTGGTAAGTGCAATACCTACTACTAGTATACCTCAAGCAAGAACAAATCCGCTAGGCTTTTTTTGTATGCCACCGTAAGGGTTAAGTGCATAACCCTAACCCTAACCTCTAATCCTAAACCCATAATCTTAACAGTCTTACAACCTATTGCAATACCTATACCACCTGCAGTGGCTATTGAAGCTAGAGTGCACTACACTTACTCTAGCTCCAGTAGCCTCTGTGGGTTACCAATAGTCTATATATACTTTTGAAAAGCTTGATATCCATCTCAACTACCACTGTAAATATTTTATGGTATTTTACTTGAGTAGTGGGGGCAGTAGCAATATAATTTTCCCATACAAAGTGAAGAAAGTGTGGGTATATAGTCTGAGAACACATGATTAATTCTGTGGGTAAATAGCTGAGCCGGTGTAAGGTCTTAATAATGCTTGAGGTTATGGGTTGAATTCTTGATTATGCCAGTTTTTTGCCTTCCTTTTTATTTTCATCCATTTATTGCAAGGCCCTACAGTACTTATTTGATGTCTTTCACTATTGTATATACTAATTGAAGTACATAACAGTATAGCTTTAAAGTCTTACACCTATACGACTTGAATTACAAAAAATACAAACAGCAGAAAAGATAGTCACTTTAGATAGCAAAAGTGACAATCCGCTAGACTAAAATTGTAGGAGATAGTCATGACTATCCAAGTGAGCACTATAGGGGCAGAGACATGCATGCCAGCTGGGAAGGCCGTGTTCATTAATATGGCCGCCTGCGCCTTCCGAACGGCCAAACGGCGCGATGTGCATGGCACGAGACTCTCAAACCATTACACAAACTGCGCATCTCCGGATAGTGACATCATGGAGGAGACGTTCGGCACTTACTATTCCTGCAATCAAAAGCCCATCCTTGAAGATGGTGGTCTCCTTGTTGTTGACTGCTCGAAACTTCGATCAGCCGTTGCCATGATTCCTCACCATGATCACTGGTTCCTACTCGAGAAGATCACACTGGATGCAGGCTCTCTCATGGACCAGATTGCAGATTTGGATGAAGAGCTGGAGGAGGTCAACTACGTATGCCACGGGGTGTGAACAGCAGGACGAGTTGTAGGTCTAAATATTATGTAGATGGTTTGTCGTACATGAAGCGTATACATCATGATGAGGCCCATATATATGAGAGAAGTCCAAAAAAGATAGCGAAATGAGGACAGGGACGAGACAAGAATAGGGACGAGGGTAGTATGGAATAGCACGACGAGTATTGAGAGAGTAAATGCAAACACGACAGAACTAGGTGGAAGATATGGATCCACCATCTGCACCCATGTATGAACGCTCAGTACCCTGTACAGTTTGACTCCCATACGGCCAAACCGGGATCACACAAAGGTACTTGTAGTCTGCTTCTTAGCCTTGGGAATTTGTGAACAACACTAAGAAAGATGTCGGACTGATAACCTGATAGCTGCGGCCTCCTGCGTGCTAGTTCTACAAGATGAGTTACTTAACCCAAAGTGCAAGGATCTCTCATGGAGCCGCCCATTATACGGTTGCCGGCTTGTCCAAGGCATAGCTCACGTCTCGCGTCTTGCACACGACGCGCGCGGCGGCAGTACGTTATCGGCCCAACAAGGACTCACTGTATCCCCACCCCTCGCTCCGTCGGCATTCACGGTTGCCAGTGTACCCTCCCAATATAGCTATGAATATTCAACAGTCTACTCCAGGCGAGGTAAAATCGCAGAAAATGTTACCGCAATTTTCCAAACATTTCTGACGCCTTGACCGCAGGCTGGAAACGTGACACGCAAATTGGGCCTTGGAGGCTCTTACTAGCCAGCAACTGTACCATTGTCGGAGCGCATACAATCCCGCTGCACTAGGTCTCACGACAGATGAGCCCTACTGGGCCTTGTTTTAGGTCAGTGCTCTAGGAGACGGGATAAGCTCTGATACTCATTAATCGCAGACGTGATATAGAAGGGCGTGAGTAGACATGGACACTGATGAGCATATCAATCAGCAAACAACGCATCGTCTAAGCACCGCTGTGACTACATTACCTCCGGCTGGCAGGGGATCATGGTATCATATGTCATGAAGAGCAATATTCACGTATTGACACGCATGTCATCAATGGTAATAACAGAGAACAAACTGAACAGGCGCGACTTTGGAATACAACATGATGTCTGGGAGGGCAGATATAAGAGGAGAGGGGAGAAAAGCTACAAAGGCAAAAAGAAGGCTGACTCAAGGGCAACTCAGTGCTATACAGGGCTCATGATGACCTACATGAAGATGTATTGGCCATCCCAATGCTTCAAGTCCGCGCTCTAGTTTCCAACCATGCAACCTGCATAGACACGTCTTGGACTACATCAAGGTTGTCGGGCAGCGCTGTGCTCTACGGTCTTTGGGAGTGAAGAACATCTGAAGGTTGGTGATAGTAGCTTCCGGGGGATCCCATACGACGCTGCCGCCTGTTGGGTTGCGTGGGGAACTTTCTTAGTGATGACGGCCCTTGCAAGATAAATTGACATGCTCAGCGTGAGGGGATCAAGATTCTGGTTGCCGAGTATTGTCGATTTGAAAAGTTTGCATAGATGCAACAATATCACGTATCGGGGTCCAGCTCGGTCGGACTAAGTAGTCGGCGCCAATCCCACATGCGCGGAGTACCATTTGGAAGGTAGGTTTCGTCCGTGTGCTGCCATCCGTCCGCCCAGTAGCAAAGTCGTGCCCCATTCAGAAGGGTTAATAAGTTGCGGGCTCCGAGTTCAAGGCGGGGGTCTTTGTTAGCATTAAAGAGATCGTCTAGGTCATCATGATCGTGTGAAGACAAGGCGAGCAAGCCCAAGCGATTGACCTACAACATCTGTAGAAGCCACTACAGTTGGCGCCTGGCTAGGAGGATACCCTGCGATCTTCTCTAAAGCTAGGATAGCCGCCCAATGTAGACTTGAACATGCAAGCACACTAATGTCACTTTGACTCAGTGCTTGGCTGTTACGCTCGCCAACGTCATCGAAGAATGCGGGCAAGGAGCGCATGATGGGATGCAGCTTTATCCAACGTGAATCCTCTTTTATTGTAATGTCTTTGTCGTCCTTGATAGGGTCTTCATTGTCGCTGTCCACCAGAATAAGCATCTGCAAAAAGCGAACTGAACTAATAGTATCAGAGGCGAATTCAACGTGCTCAAAAGCCATGTAAAGCCGTGACATGAACAAGTTGTATTCCCGGAGCTGAGTAATGTAGGAGGTGATTCCCGGACATTCCATGTCGAGTAGTCTGCGGACCATGTACTGCGTAATGCGTGCGTTGTGTGTTGAATGCGCAGCCTAAGAACGAAGCGCAACACTCTGCAGCACACAGAGAATAAGCAAGTG